CAGGGCAGGAGACTGAGCAGTCCCTGAATGCTCACTCCCTGCGTAGCCACATTAACCTAGATCTCCCACTCTCATCACTCAAGACCCACACAAAGACTACAAGTAGAGCAAAGCAAGTGTTTTATTCTCTTTATTTGTAATGTATCTAAACATGCCATTATCACAAGAACTATTTCTAATTAGTAACATTTCCCAAGAGATAACACATTTGGGAGAAATTTAATCAGCAGTGCTCTGAAGCAGTTATCTACTAAGTATCAAAAGTCAAACAATGTCCTTGTAAAACATTTATTTCTTTGTGCTGCCTTTTGTGTCTCATGCTGTGACCTGAATGGTCCCACTTCCTCCAAATGACCAGTCAAATTAAGTATAGGCTCTATGGGGTCTATGAGGGGACTGTGTACCGATGAGCACGGCGTTGCTGTGGAGGAGGGGCTGCTTGCTTCGAGGTGCTGTGTGAGCTATCGCTGCTGTTTGTGATTAACTTGCCATTTAAAGTTTTTTTAGTTATTAGCTGTGCCCTAAACCCCCGCCCCTTCCTCCATCTGCTGCACCTCTGCCTGTCTCAGCCCCCTCCCTCTGCCTATCCCACACTGCTTTTGCCGACTTTGCCTACTTGCCCTTAGCCCCATGGAGACACAAAGTATTCATTCATTTTAGGATCCCGAGGTCACGGCAGGGCCAGCAGGGAGAGGCCAGCATGTCCGCTCCGTAGACAGGTCAGGAATCTAACATGTAACTTCGATTAGCAGTGCTAGTGAAGGTGGCTCACTTACTTATTTTTGCTCTTTCGCTTTTTATTACAAAAGGCAAGAGAGTGAAATTACATAATAAAAATAATAGATGGTTTTAGTAAGGTGTGGGAAAATGCTATTAAAAACGATTTAATTATTAATATTAGATGATTCGTTGCTACTGTCTTGTACATGTCTTGAAACTTAAGTTTTACTGTATTCTACACTATTTTTGGGATATATTTTGTACCTAATGTACTATTATTTGTTCTTAACTTTTTACAAAAACAACATCCATAACTGCACAGTACTGTATATATCTATGTAAGACATTTGAAATTATTACCACATGTTAACCCACACTTTAAGTGCAGTGGCCGGTATAGCTCTATTGCGGTTTATTGGTTGTTCATTGGCTAAAGTCCCTCTTGTCTCTGGCTCCACTGTGGCCATGTTTTTCTCAGTTTTGTGGTTTTATTAGAGGTAGCTCACGAGGACATGGCAGGGAGGGGTAGCTTGTGAATATGTGCGGTGTTGGGGGCTATTAAGTGAGGGGGTGGGATAGTTGCCGGGGAGGGGGGCTGGTCATCTTGCATATGGGGCAGAGAGGTGCAGATATGAGCAGGGGATAATGCTTGAAAGCCCCCCAGCGTGAGTCCTGTGTCTCATTGTCCCGTGGTACACTCCTGTCACTTTCATTTTGCACCCTCTAGTCCGGAGTCAGGCCAACTTTGATATGTGGAAGGGGTGCAAGACATGATGGGAGGGGCAGATTTTGAAAAAAAAAAAAAAAAAAAAAGCAGATAGAAGTCTGTGAAGTGTGAAATAAGATTGCTTTTTATCCGACAGTGAGAGGAAGCCGGGGTAGAAGTAGAGGGGCACCGTTGTGTGATTTCCAGTTGACACCTGGTTAAAATGATAACAACAGCTTTAATAATCATAATGAGGGTAATGAGAGCTTAGGCACACAGCCCTATAGCACACAGCTGAGGAGAGGCAGGCACTTGAGCAGGAAGAGAGGGAGTCAGTACTGTCCACATGCCCTGGACTTCTGGATAGACAAGATCATGTTGTTTAATATAGTATCATATAGGGCATGCAGCCTGTCACTGCACTTTGAGGAGCATGGGAGCCTTTCTCAGGTAGGATGACTTAAATTCGTTTTTACTTTTTTTTTTTTTTTTGTGAGAAACGCAGTTATCATCATAGCTTGTATTCTGCTGAGGCCGGAGCACGGAGGAGGAGCCTGACCTTGTGAAAGATATCTAGAGTGACTATTATTACTTGCTCCTCTCTACAGTCTGGGAAAGGCAGTACTGGAAAGTGCAGTGGTTACCATCAATTATTTATCAGGCCGTTTGTGCTTGTCAGTCTGATTAGCATTAGTGTAATCACTGCTCTTCAGGGGAAACGCCGGGCCGCTCTCTCTTCTCCTCATCTGAAGGTAATCTCGCCGTTTTCAGTCTCTCATCTTCACCGGACGCCTCTTGCATAGCATCTGCTTTTGTCATCTGCACATATTTCTTTCTCTCTACCCCCCTCTCCTCTTCCCCTGGCGTGTTTCTGTCTGTTGCTGCTCCGGCCCCCTTCCCTCCTCACCTCATTAATGCGTGTGAGGACTCGCTATTCCCAGCTTGTATAGAGTGACACCTATGGGTGGTATGATGTATCTGCACTCTCGCAGCGCTCAGAAGGGGATGCACTGTGTCTGTCTGTGGGAGCAGTGAGTGAGTGGCAGTGCAGAGCTGAAATGTAGCCCGCTCCAGAACAGATGAGGCTAATCTCTGTGTCGACAGCGGGTTTACCCAGCTTGCATGATTAGATTAATGGAACTGTTTCATATCATTGTATTAGGATGGTTAATGAAGACAATTAATTAGAAGACAACCTTCAGGCTATTGTCCTTTACATTTGGGTTAGGAAATGTCCCCGCTGTGATAGCTCTGAGTGCTTCTTCTCATCTGCTCCAGAGTTAATCTACAGCGAGGTTTGAAGCATCTCCTCCATTCACATCCTTACTCTTAGGCCACTCATGACCTTTCATTAATTATGCCCAGTCCTGCTTTAATCATTCTGTAATGCTGCTGAAGATGAGATGAGAAATAGACAAAGCGATTTGCCACTTTAAGACGTAATGCATCTCTGTGAATTAAACCTTTGAATCGCTGCATAAATTATGGATTGTATTTGTAGATCTGTGTGCTCAAAGTGTCACTGGTTGATTTAACGTCTAAATAAAATACACATTGGAAAGACGGTGCATATAGGAGAGGAGGGTGTGAGTAAACCCAGATAGCATTCGAATGTTAGCTGCCTATCACAGTCATATCTGAGCACAAAAGACATCGTGTGCTTTAAAACGTGCTGTGTTAAGGCGTAGGTGGGGAATTAGTCTCACTACAAGTGTCACATAACTAAGAAGTGACACCCTGCCCCATTTTAAAGGTGAAAAAATTTACCTAGGGATTATTTTGTAATCTGAGCACCTATGCAGCTGTACAGACTCCTAATGCTTGGAGTTGGGGGGAGATTTATGAAGGCGAGAGTTAGATGGGATTTGGGGACGTGGCTACAGATCTCTGCTTTCTGCTCGTGTTTAAGATCTGCTCCACAAGCGCCGGATGGAATTTATGTGTTGCCTTGGAAACATACCAGAAACACAGTTAAAAATAAAAAAAGAATCCACTGTATTTATGTGGGTGAAATCCAGAGAACATTACAGTTTTTGACTTGAAGCCAGTCGGCCTTTTTACTTTCTACTTTTAGTGTGACATGAGATTGTTGGATCTGAATGAGTATATCAAGCCGTTTAATATGCAGTCACTTTTCAGATTTTTTCGTACCAGCCCAATATTAAAGGCACTGTCAGATAAGCCATTTTAGTCCATGTAGTATATTTATTTTGGCTAGAGCCTTGTTTACTATTTTGCATTTTTACTATTTACAGTGAATATTACACTGTTGACATCCCAGTGTTCCTAATTTGCCTTATAGTGTATTTAGCAATGATCTGTAATAATAGAATAGTTGTTACTTTATATAATATTTTAAGTGTGTGTATTTAGTTTTACATAACCTCCTTCATGGCATCTACTTTTGTACACTTTTAAATATATTTTTATCCTAACCTAATATTAAACTAAACATATGATACATAGTATGCAACATAAGGAAGTACATATGTTGTAGCCCGGTGTGTAGTTTAGCCTGCTTCTATATTTCATAAGTGACAGGATAAACAGTAAGGATAATGTAGTATCATAAAAGGTGGTTTTGGCTGTGGCTGTGCATGTGGGGAACTCAGATTGACTGTGCGATGACTACAGGGCTGAATTCTTGAACAGGATATTTCAGTAGCCGTTGTAGCATTGTCAATATATCAATAACGGCCTGAGCGTGAAAGTGTTTTCAAAAGAGCATTTAAGTACATTTGCGGAGAATTAGCTGACTTGTGTAATAACTGATAGGAGCCTATTGACCGCAGCCTAGTTTACTGTTGTCAAATCAATGCCATCAGATGCGAGTCCCCACTACCTTTTAAACAAACTTAACAGGCAGAGGAGATGTTCAGGGGGCACTGGAGAGGAATAAACAAGATTGATGCCCTTTTTATTATCTGTTTTGCTATCTTTTCCTCCTGTGTGTTAGTTACAAATAGTGTTATCGAATATCCATTGTTTGGACTTCGATGCGGCTAAATGGCCTGATATATTGAGCGGAGGCTTTTAGGGCGGTTACAAGGGATTTCGGGCTTCGACTTGGCATAAGAGTAAAATGAATGGCGCTCGGGCAGACCTTTAAATATTTATGCTTTTGCGTGAATGCTAGGATGGAAGGGGTGAAATGAGTCTTGTATTGGTAAGTAACCTAGCAGATTGCAAGGGACAGTAATGTATGTGTATATTTGTATTCAGGAGAAGAGGGAGGTGGACTGTCTACTAAAAGGTCTTTTGCTGAAAAATAACACTCATGGAATTATTTTCCTATACCACTTTGTCTTCTTATTTATTTAACAAAATAAATAAATACAAATGTAAAATTAACACAATTTTGGTGTTCTTGTTAAATAACCTCTCAGACAGCACAGAACATGCATAGGCAGAAATCAGGTTTGGACCTTTGTGTCTGCTAGGCTTGCAACTGTGTGTCAGCAAATGTAATTGTGTGCAGCTCCTATAGAAAAAAAATTGCTACCGTCCCTTTAAGTGCTTCCACCAATTCTGATGGCGTGGTGATTTACATATCCCATCCTCCCTCCCCCTTCAGGAGAACTGAGCGAGGATGTGGAGGCTGCTAGTGAGACCACCACAGACCAGGAGGACCAAACCAAAGAGAGAGAAAGTGGGGGGGACAAGGAGCTCACCAAAGGGACAGGTAAGGCCCATTTTCAACACTCACTCTTTGGGGAGTCTCTTCACGGTAAGCACATGGACAATCAAACATAGGCCATTTGTCAAAACTACATTACACGTTTGAATATTATTTTGGGGTATGCTGCATAGTATTACAGATTGGCAGGCTTTTTCATGTATCATTCATTCACAGTAGTCAAGAGGCCTGTGTTTTGTTTTTTTTTTGTTTTGTTTTTTTTTTTTTTGGTTGAAACTTTTTTTTTTTCTTTCTTTTTAAGTTTTATGGCATGACCATGATGCTGATTCTCCCTGTATCACTCAGTATACTCTATCAGGTAAAGAGAGAGTTGGTATTCCTGTTAAAGGGGTTGGCTAAGAAAAACAGGGGCGGGTTTAAGCATGAGCAATGTCCAGGGAACCAATCAGATTTTGAGACTTTCTAAAACATATATGTGCTATTCAAAAAAGCAAGAAGTAAAGTTGTTTAAAACTTTGTCTAATTTAACTAAGTAGATGTGAAATAATTTTAAATAGACCATTTATAACAGTGAGGTAATTTTGTGCATTCTGTCTATGCTTTGTAATGCTGGTACAGTGATGATAATAACTAAAACAACAAACATAAATCTGCATACAACTTGATGCACTGAGGCAGTATTCAATATCAAAGGTTAATGGTACAGATTCTAAACATGAGATATTTTTTAGGATTTAGTCAGATTCTAACTATTCAGCTGTTGTGTGGCTGCAAATATAGTTTCATGCACAGTTTGCTTTGGTGCGTTGCTGTTATAAAAACAAAGCTTGCAGTTAGACATGTCTGATTCAATAGAAGTGATTTCTGCTAATAATGACACTGAACAGTAACAGGCCTAGATAGATGCTTTTCACTTGTCTAACTTCTTGTGTTACTGCAGGATGTTTTGATTTACACTAGTCAGGTTAAAAGCTGGAAAACAATTTAGACCTTTTGCATACCTAAGTTTTTTATAAAGTGCAGGGGAAAAACTTCATCACAGTGTTTGAAGCTGTGCCTTTGTAAAATGTCTTTGATATCCGAACTTCTATTTTAAATGAGGCTGAGTTGTTTGTGCTCTTTGAAAGGGCGACACTCTTCTTTGATGGAAGAAATAATGATATGCATGCCTGACTGAATATGGCTAAAAGTATGTTTTAGCACATCAAAATAAAGCACTTTAAAAAGCATTAAAATGAGCTGGCCGATTAATAATTCACTCATACCTGTGGTGCACAGGAAGACGACTCCTCGCATTAGGATTCCTCCTTTTTGAAAGGCATGCAATTTGATACAAGCATATTCAGTTCCTTTCCTCCCCTCTGTCAGTCGCTAATCACCAAATAAGTGTGTTTCTGTGTTTCCACAAAGGAAATATGTGCTGCATATGAAAAATTTACAGCTTCCCAGCAGCTTATTAGAAACGCTTAGTTAAAAATAGCATGTGCATTAGGGAGCAGGTCTGAGGTTGTGTTTGATGTCAGTGAAAAGGTGCTGTGGAGGTTGGGCTGCTGGGTTCAAGGCTGTGCTGTCAGCGAAAGCTCGACAGCTGGAGTTTAATGGAAGGTCCTCTCTGCAGTAAACTTTTTCCCATTCATAATAACAATGGTCTCAAAAATTGAATAAAAATCACTATGTAAATATGCCACAAGACAATGTAGTGGTGAGTGGACCCCTCATTTGGTTGTGTTTGACATACAGTTAGAGCATGTTGGAGCAGTGTACATCCGTGGACCTGTTATGTGTGAGTGGTGCACAGTCTGAAGGGGAGATGTCTCTAAAGTCCATCATTAGAAGTACTGAAGTATTTTTCACATGGTTGTCATGTTAGTGTTGGAACAGAGCACAACATTGTTCTTTTACAAATGACAGTCACTGTCAGCAGACGGCACGAGAGAACAAGAAGAAAAGGCTGCCTCCCTTTTAAAGCCACTGTCAATCTTGTTTTTTCTTTCTTGTTCTGCTCCTCCTCACTATTCATTAAAATCATTTAGAGCTACATCACAAGTCTTTGTAAAATGCATATGTATTTGGCATGTCATCTCCTGAAAGATGCCTTCATTATACCTGGCTTTTTATTTATCCAGAGAATAATAGCTACATATATGTGTGTGTGTAATTTTAACATTATAAAAGTCACATACCTCCATGCGAAGACATGTATGTTTTCAGACTATTTCTAAGGTTTTTAAAGGAAGTGTTAAATGTATATAACCTGAAGATAAAAATACAATTTTGTGTGTAAAAAGCCAGATCATTTCTCATATTAGTAATTCAAAGGGTCATTTTAATGCTGTCTATTAAATATGTATGAACAGAGAGCATAAGCCCCTGCTCATAAGTTCTTCACCTCGCTGAGACAGCACAGGCACAAGAGCAGCACTGGAGCGGACCAGCCTTCATTAAAACAGCTTGTATTTATGCAGCAGATTAGTGTACGGAGGGTCTGTGGAGAAAGGGAGTGCTAAGAATGGAACCTCTTTGGATTAGTAAGCCACGCGTAGGTCTGATAATTATGGAGAGAAAACCTGCATTGTTCAGGGCCAAGTTTGGCCCGGGTGTGTGGATCTCTTGGATAGGACAGTGGTGCTGTGTGCTGAGGAGAAGTGAGAGGGCAGCATGCTGCCACCGTTTCATTTAGTCTGCTTAATAAACATGCTGATTAGCATCCCCTAGATGGAGCACAGTGGCATTACAATTCCCTCACTTTTAACTGCTCTCCACTGTGTTGTAAGCAGGCACACTGATATGTAGGGTGAAGTTAAAGCTTTAGTCTGTGAGGCACTACCTTTGTGGTTTCTTTTAGTGATTTGCTGTTTAAATGCATGTAAATTTTCAAATATGAAGATACAGCATCCCTCACACGACATAGCACAACAGTACTGTGAGGGTTTTATTTCCATATCACGTCCTTGTAGTGCTTGTCATTTCTCAAATTCTAATTCCTTTTGTCTTTGAAGATAATGGCTCATAAATTGTCCTTGTTGTGAGCCAGTTCCTGAAAGCTCATGTTTATGAGTTTTGCCTAGAGGTGTTTATTGGATAAGACACTGTGTCTCCTGCAAAGGTGAACACCATTGTCCTGTTGTTCTGTCATCTCAAAAATAATCTTCTTCTGACAAATAGCAAACAACACTTTTTTATCGGTAGAGGTAGTCACAAAGTAGGATCCACGATACCTAGTTCTCAAATGCACTAAACGCTATAAGAAAAAAAAAGTTATAAATTAAGTTGATAAAAATCTGTTTACATAATTGAAATTAAAACATTTTTTGTCAGCCTGTCAAATCTGCCAAGCATTGTGAATGCTTATACTGATAATAATTCCTTTAATGATACTGTCTGGCTCTGAGGGGAAAGACAAGGTGCCAAAGTCCAATTCACTTACGGGACACAGCGGCACAAATGCCTCTGGTTTACGGAAAAGGGCCATGAATTAATAATTGCCCAAATGAGTCGTAAACACTTGGCTCAATTTGTGCTCACTTGGTATGGATGAAGATTTGACTGTAATCATATGCTTTGGACAGGATTGCAGGCTTCTGTAGAAATTCGTTCCTATGTAAACTTATTCATGTAACTTCACAATTCAATTTAAACACACCACAATAATCCACAGATTTTATAAAAAAAAAAAAAAATATAATATATATATATATATATATATATATATATATATATATATATATATATATATATATAAATATATTTATTTATTTATTTAATATTTACTTGATTTTATAATACTTACTCAGACTATTGTGGAATGAATGTGACCAGACTTGTGTCAGTCGTTTTTGTTTCAATAATGAGGTGTTCTAAATTGGAGCGCCTGAAAGGTATCAGTACTATGCATTATTTTCAATATTATGCCAATTCTATTCTATTAAGCAGGACTTGGTTGCATGTTGTGATTGCATACAGGATTTAAAGAGAGCAGATCAGAGTCAGATTTGTGGAGCCCTAATTTACTGTGACATGGACTAGAACAGAGTAAGCTTTCTTCACCCCCTCCTCTGTCTCTTACACACCACACTCTAGCTGCTCCTGCAGTTAAGTATAGTTTAACAGAAAAACAAACCTTTTTGGACTTTGTGGTGCTATATAATAGTTTTGATAGCACAAAGGCTAAATATGATGCATTTTTATTCTGAAATAATACTCATCCCTTCACTTGATAATATTTCTAGTTTGACAGTAGTGCATAGTATTACTGTAGATTTTTGTTCATGTATAGTTTGTATTATTGCAGAAGTGCCCTGGGTTGGAGTTCTTCTAGTGAATGTTTTTGTACTAGTGGACAGAGGTGATGGTGTGGAGTGGTGAGACAGTGCAGTGACTGAGAGGTTAATGTCAGAGAATGGGAGGTTCCTTTTGCTTAACATTGCCTCTGTTTATTGGCGGATATGTTTAATGGGATTGAGTGTGACTGGACCTAATAGGGCCTCCGTGGCTGATCCCTGTGTCTCTGTCCACAGCCTGGTTTCCCACTGGGTAATCAGTTCAAATGGCCCACTGCTGATTGGAGGTGACGTTTTAATGTCTCCAGCAGGAACATGGTCAGCCCTTCTTAACCTGACCCCCTACCACTGCCCCTTTTCGCGCTACATTGCCCTCTGTTCTCAATTTGCCCTTTTAGGACTGTACAAATCAGGCCAAATGTAACTCTTTATGGTCTTGTTAGAGCTCAGGCAGGACATCTCCTTAAGTTTCATTGTGACTTCTCTTGGTCAGGGACAAAATATAGATTCATATGTATTTTTTGTATTTCTTTTCAATGATTTAATTTGCTATTAGATTTACATTTACAGAAATTTAGAACTATTGTTAAAAAGATAGACTGTTCTTTTTGACATAAGTCTTATAAATATAGAATTCGTAACCCTCTCTCTCCCATTTGTTTTTCATTCATTTTATTTATATAGATACCTGTATTTACATTAAAAAAACCTACCAAAATGTACCTATAATACGTTGACTAGTACCAAAAAACAAAAAGACATTCACCTTTGACACTACACAATCTTAACTGTGTTTAAGTGTGTAGCTAGCTTAGCAGTACCATCAATATAAGTCTCACGTTTAAGAACTCAACTAAAACTATGTTATTGTAGCATGAAACCCAAAACTGCCCCCTGAGGTAGACTAATATTATCATTAGAAGTCTTCTGAGTTGTATGAGAGAAGCTCCAAAGCCTCGTGTGATCCTCAGCCTAGTTTTGCAGCACACATTTTGTCCTATTAAACACACTTTTATATCACATTTAAAGTAGACATTACAAAGCTCGTTTTCCACAGTGTTATTGATTGAGCTGCTCCCATGCTGTCACTGTTGATCTTTGCCAATGTCTTTGTGCATGTGTTCTAGCTGTGTCCGGCCCTTTTGAGCGGCGCCAGTCAGAGTCCCCGGTCCTCTCCAAAAGGCCCTCTTCTCAGCCCGAGACCTCTGAGAGCCCCTTCTCCATCAAGCGTCCCAGGACAGCCGAGAAGAGCACTTCGGAGCAGGTGAGGAATCAAGGAGAGACATACATAATTAAACCAATGACTTCTGAGATCAAACCCTTTTGATTAGCTGATTCTTGCTAAAGGTTATCTTATCCTCATTTACCAAGGTCTCATTAGAAATCTCAAAACTTTAAAGTAAAAAATACTGCTAATTATTTCTAGTTAGGCTCCCTGCTTTTAATATTAAGTAGAGATTTATGTCTTATTTATATTTTTTAGCTGTGAAGCTTCTAATTGTGTAAGGTAGAAAATGAAGATGGTATTTGACAGATGAGAGCACTTTGAAGTGGGTGCCAGGACTTGTCGGTTCACACTAACACACACGTCTGTGATCATAGGGATATGTCCGCTCGGGTTAGAAGGGCCGCTCCCCCTCTCCCATCTATAGCTGCTCTTTAGTGCACCCAGGGCACATGCACATTGAGGTTAGAAATTAGATCAGATACTGTTCATTTTATAGGAATTTTCTGGTAAAATACAACTAAACTACAGTATATTGTTTAATTGTGCATGCATATAACCACATGACCGTGATAACAGTGGCAACAGATGTAGTGATCATGCAGTACTGTTGAATCAAGTGCAGAGGTATCAGCCAATGGGATAGTGCTGTGTACAAAAATGACTGTTCACAAAACTAAGGCATTTATTCGTTTCCCATTTTAATTTAAATCTTTTTCCCTCAGATGTACCAGTGCCCCTACTGTAAATTCACCAACACAGACTTGAACCGTCTGAGGATGCACGTGATGACGCAGCACTCAGTCCAGCCCATGCTGCGCTGCCCCCTGTGCCAGGACATGCTCAACAATAAGGTCCACCTGCAGTTCCACCTCACTCACCTGCACAGCGTGGCCCCCGACTGTGTGGACAAGCTCGTATCCACAGTAAGTCCTACCAGTGCCACTCTCATCAGCCCTTTGAAAGCATGTTATGATTCTTTATGCTTGTGTTGGTCTTTATAACTGTACATTATTCATTCAGGTTTTACATGTGATAAAGAATTTCTTTTATGTAAAAAAAAAAAGTTCTTCATAGTCAACAGTCAAGAATTGTTTCCCAAAATTATGCTTCTACAAAGACTAACCCTCACATAAATATAGCACCATATTACTGAAATCATTTATTTAGTATCCAATTTGACATATGCTCCTATTATTCATAAATAAGCAGGATTATTTGTTCTAGATTATAAATTTTGCTTTTATATATATATATATATATATATATAAATATGTTTATTTTTTTTATTATTATTTTTTTTGTCCAATATATTTTCTGTAATTTGCTTCCTGTAGAATCTATTAAAAGGGTCAGACCAGCGACCACTATGGGGGCCTATGAAGATGACTCACTCAGTTTTAATCAGGACTCCCCAGCAGACAGCTCACTAAGCTATTAAAGTCCTTGTGATTCCTGCCAGACACCCTTTAAATTGCAAACATTCTTTTCTTTATCAAACAAAGAATGTTGTTAATTGTAAAATGGCTGTAGGCAATCCCATTGGCTCAGCAGAGATGATTGTGCCTTTTAAGATATTTTTTTCTTTTCATTGTCTTAATGTGCCCATCATCAGAGGCTTCTTTCACCTCTCTTGTAATCACAGTCATTAAAGAGGTGAACTCTGTTTTGTGTTTTAAATGGTTTGAAGATGAGCAAGTCTTATCCTCTTGTTCATGTATTAATACACTTGACATTACTTTCATGTCTCAGATCAGCAGACTTCTAATCAAAACAGAATTACAATTAGGGAAAACTAATTGTGACAAGGTTTTTAAAAATCTTTATTAAACACTTCTATCTGAATTAAAATAGATAGTCATAAATGCCCATTTTTCCAATCAAAGTTCTGCCAACTTAAATTATGTGCACACGCCTGCTAGACCATACAACCTAAGATTTATATCAACTGCAGTGCACCCAGCGAGAGACGCTCACTGCTCTTTGAAGGGAAATAACATTTTATTTGCCCTGTTTTCTTGTAAATCACTGAGCAAATCTTTGCTCTGGTCTGTGCCGTGAAACTAAATGGCTTGCTGGACAATCACAGAATAAAACATTGGTCTATCTGCTGCCCGGCCATCTCCCAGCTCCATCTAGTGAGTAAATGGCACACACATTAGTATGGTAGATGGCAATATTTATTTCTTTTATAGAGGTTGTAATATACTGAAGTACTATGAGGAGACCGCGATAGAGGAGAGGTAATATAAACTGTATTAGACCAGCACCTTTTATAATGGAGGATGTAGATAGAGGCTGTATTGTTCTTTTCTATGTCACACTGCCATTATATACTGTAAGATGGTTTGCAAAAGCCTTTAATCTTAGGTGAATCACTTGCTACTATCTATGCTTTTAGTTAACTCCATTGAATTATCTTTGTTTCCTTTTAATTTTTTATTTTTTTTCAAATGGAGATGATCCAAATATTTTGCCTCATTAATTCTGAGTCTGTCTGGGTGATGGCCATTTTGAACTGTTTGCCAATTAGTCAGTCCAAATTAAAAGTGACCTTGGGATCTGCTGCCTGCTCCTCTAATTGGCAAATGAGGCAGTTGTCCAGAAACACCCCACTTTTTAATGACCTTTTTTGTTTGTTTTTGTAAATGTTGAGCACCTTATTATCTCACAATGTAATAATATAAGTGTTTTTGTTTGTGCACTAATATTTAAAGAATTGGTACAAATCAGGGTATTGCACGACCATGCTTTTACATTTGTGATATGACCACATTTAACCTCAAATTGGCAATATTTTGAGTCCACCCTTTATTTTTCTAAATTAAAATATATATATATACTTTGTCTTTATTCCACAAGATGGGTAACACTAGGATTCTTTTGTGCTTTGTCTTTTAAGGTGACAGCTTCGGAAGCATTGCCAGCCAGCATGTTCATACCTGTACCAAGTCCTGACAGAGAGTCCCAGAGCACCCCACACGCAACAACCAACTCCAACTGTGAAGAAATGAAAAAGCAAATTGGTTAGTATTATGGTTCGCAAATGCATTGATTTGACTGATGATGATTCATATATTATTTCTATTTATCTATAGAATGTAGTATGCCTTAATATTATGTCTAATGATGATGATATTAAGGCATAATACCTTCTTGTTTCATTTTTCACAGAAACCTCAGATCTGGATATTGAGAAGAGTACGTCTCTATCAGCAGAAATAACCGAAGCACGAAAGTCACCCCCAGAGGACCAGCAATCAGAGAAAGATGATGCTACTGGATTCTTGTGCTGGAAGAAAGGCTGCAACCAAGTGTTCAAATCCTCCAACTCGCTTCAAATTCACTTTAATGAAGTCCACAACAAAAGACCCCAACTGCCTGTCTCAGATCGCCATGTCTACAAGTATCGCTGTAACCAGTGCAGCCTTGCATTCAAAACTGTGGAAAAACTGCAGCTCCATTCTCAGTACCATGTTATTCGAGCAGCCACCATGTGCTGCCTATGTCAAAGGAGCTTTAGGACACTACAAGCCTTAAAGAAACATCTAGAAACCAGTCATCTTGAACTGAGCGAAGCAGATATACAGCAGCTCTATGGAGGTCTACTTATGAATGGAGATCTTATGGTTATGAGTGAACTAGCTCTTGGAGAGGACCCGAGCATGCTGGGAGAAGATGACAAAGATGGAGAGGAAAGTGATCCAGAGGAAAAACAAAGTCCAACAGGAAGTGACACAGGCTCACTGCAGGAGGATTCTGGATCTGAACCTAAACGTGCTTTACCCTTTAGAAAAGGTCCCAACTTTACCATGGAGAAGTTTTTGGATCCATCTCGACCTTTCAAGTGCACTGTTTGCAAAGAGTCTTTTACACAGAAAAACATCCTTCTAGTTCACTACAACTCAGTCTCCCACCTGCACAAGGTCAAGAGAGCTCTCCAGGAGTCCACCACAGGCCAGCCTGAGCCCACTAGCAGCCCTGACAACAAACCATTCAAGTGCAGCACCTGTAATGTGGCATACAGTCAGAGCTCCACTCTGGAGATACATATGCGCTCAGTCCTGCATCAGACCAAGGCTAGAGCAGCTAAGCTGGAAGCAGCAGGAGGTAGCACTGCATCTGCTAGTAACTTAACCAGTGGAGGGTCTAACAACAGCACTTCAACACCAAGTCCAAGCCCCGCAAGCAACTCAACATCAGCCTCCACCAACCACACATCCACCACTCATGCTGCCCACAGTGCACATGGAGGAAACCATGTTAGCCAGGCTCATGTCCTTGAAAGTCTAGGGAACTCTTCTGTGAGCAGTCACTCTTCCCTTTCTGACAACCATGAAGTGAAAAAGTCTAAATTATCTGATCTGATGTCTGTCAAAGGCCAGCAGCAGCAGTTACAGCAACAGCAGCAGCAACTGGCTCAGGCTCAAGCCCAAGCTCAAGCCCAGCTCCAACAAGAGCTCCAGCAGCAGGCAGCACTGCTCCAGTCCCAACTCTTTAACCCAGCACTACTACAGCACTTCCCTATGACAACTGATGCACTTCTACCACTGCAGCAGCAACAGCTTTTATTCCCCTTCTATATCCCTGGAGCTGAATTCCAACTGAACCCTGAGATAAGTCTTGCAAACTCGGCCCTTGGCCTGGCAGGATCCTCTACTAGCTCTCTGTTGGAGGATCTGAAGAACTCTGCTCAACAGAGCTGTCTACAACAGCAACTCATGCACCATCACCTCCAACAGCAACAGCAGTCTCAGCAGCAGGCTCAGGGGCAAATGGCGCTACTACAACAGAGTGCATCTCTCCTCCAGCAAGTTGAGGGCAAGCAGAAAGCATCCAGCTCTCAGAATGACAAAGACAGAGACACTCAGAAAGATAAGGACACCTCAGAGAAGAAAGAAGAGCATGCGAACAAAGACTCTGTAGACAGCAAGATGAAAGACAAAAAAGACATTCAGAACATAGCACTGAACATGAACCATGACACAGGCATGCTACCACCAAGGATTGCCTCAGATGCTCGTGGAAATGCCACCAAAGCTCTTCTTGAAAACTTTGGTTTTGAGTTAGTAATCCAGTACAATGAGAATAAACAGAAAGTCCAGAAGAAGCCAGTAGGCACTACAGGACCAAGTGGCCCCGGTGGGATTATAAGAGTGGTGGACCCTGTGGAGGGCCTGGAGAAACTGGAATGTGAAGCTTGTGGGAAGCTCTTTTCAAACATCCTTATTCTAAAGAGCCATCAGGAACACATCCATCAGTCCTTCTTCCCTTTTCGATCACTGGAAAGATTTGCTAAAGAGTACAGAGAACATTATGACAAACTGTATCCACTGAGACCTTCTACACCGGAACCCACAGCTGCACCCGTCCCTCCTCCTCCGCCTCCACCACCACCCCCTCCCCAAAGAGCCCCCACCCCAAACATTCCTGTCAGTGCAGCCTCACTCACCCCGCCCACTGTGCCTCCAGTCCAGCCACCTGTCCAAATGGCACAGATCCCAATGCCAATGGACTTGCCCCTGTTCTCTCCCCTAATGATGCAACCAATGTCCCTGCAGTCCTTGCCCACTCAGCTGCAGCCACAGTTACCCTCTGTGGAGCCAAGCCTTGCTTCAGACCTAGCCCAGCTTTATCAGCAGCAATTGACTCCAGCTATGTTACAGGCACAACAAAACAAAAGGCCAAGAACACGTATCACAGATGATCAACTTAGAGTCCTACGACAGTATTTTGACATTAACAATTCACCAAATGAGGACCAGATAAAAGAAATGGCCGACAAGTCTGGCCTGCCACAAAAAGTAATAAAGCACTGGTTCAGAAATACCCTCTTCAAAGAGAGACAGCGTAACAAAGATTCTCCATATAACTTTAATAATCCACCTACCACAACTCTTGAAGATACAAAAGTTGACTCAAAACCACCTTCTCCTGAGCCCATGAAACAAGAATATTATGGGAGTAAGAGATCTTCCAGAACAAGGTTCACTGACTACCAGCTGAGAGTCCTCCAAGACTTTTTTGATGCCAATGCGTATCCAAAAGATGATGAATTTGAACAACTTTCCAACCTCCTGAGCCTTCCCACACGTGTCATTGTGGTGTGGTTCCAAAATGCCCGTCAAAAGGCCAGAAAAAATTATGAAAATCAAGGAGAGGGTGCAAAAGAGGGTGAAAGGCGTGAACTAACAAATGATCGCTACATCCGCACCTCCAACCTAAACTACCAATGCAAGAAATGCAGTTTGGTATTCCAACGAATTTTTGATTTGATAAAACACCAGAAAAAGTTATGTTACAAAGATGAGGATGAGGATGGACAGTATGACAGTCATAATGAAGATTCTATGGAACTTTCACATGATTGTTACACCCCTTCTGGGTCATCCTGCCATACCCCAATGCCCTCCTCCTCAAGTCTATGCCCACTCCCTCCTAATAATTCAGCTTTCTCCCAGCTTGCATCCAGTGAAAAAGAAGCAACATCACCAGCAACCTCCTCAAATCTATTTGATGAAAAACCTAAACAATTACCAGAAATCTCATCTGACCCTAGAGAAAATCAAACCACTATCAAGCAAGAAGTTGTCCACCAGCCCCAACCTGAGGCACAGCACAGAACTCAAAGAGATGAGAAGATTCAAAGTCTCTCCAAATCTTTGAAGCGCTCATCTCCATCATTTTCACAACAACAAGCACAGTGCGGCCCTTCAGGCTCTCAGACTAGCCAGGCCCCCTCCCAGAGTTCTCACATGGGAGTCAACCCTCACCTCTCCTCTGCTTCACAACAGCTGGCCCAGCACATTATCCCATACCAGTGTGAGCAGTGCAAGATCGCCTTCCCCTCGTTTGAGCACTGGCAGGAACACCAGCAGTTACACTTTCTCTCTGTACAAAACCAGTTCATCCACCCTCAGTTCCTTGATCGCCCAATCGACATGCCTTTCATGTTATTTGATCCCAGCAATCCTCTCTTGGCAAGCCAGCTTCTCTCAGGGGCAATGCCACAGATCCCTAGCAGCTCTGCCACCTCGCCCTCCACCCCCACTTCCACCATGAATTCTCTCAAGAGGAAGTTAGAGGAGAAAGCAGGTACTAGCCCTGGTGAGAATGACAGCACAAACAGTGGGGAAGAGCCACAGAGAGACAAAAGGCTTCGAACCACTATCACACCTGAGCAGCTAGAAATCCTTTATCAAAAGTATTTATTGGACTCTAATCCTACCCGGAAGATGCTTGACCACATTGCTCATGAGGTGGGATTAAAGAAGAGAGTGGTGCAAGTGTGGTTTCAGAATACAAGAGCAAGAGAAAGAAAAGGGCAGTTTAGAGCAGTAGGGCCCGCCCAAGCTCACCGCAGGTGCCCCTTCTGCAGAGCTCTGTTCAAGGCAAAGACTGCTCTGGAAGCACACATTCGGTCTCGACACTGGCACGAAGCCAAAAGGGCAGGCTATAATCTGGCTCTTTCTGCTATGTTACCTGACCAAGACGGAATGCCTAAAATGGATGCATTAGATCCATCATCCTTTTCGCACATGCTCTCTGCTAGCAGTGATGTACAAAGTGCATCCATGTCACCAGTGAACAAGGGCTTGGATCTGTCTCCAAGGGCTTTGCTCAGCCCCTCGTCTATTAAAGTGGAAGGAATGGAAGATTATGAGAATGCCACTATGTCCTCTGTCAACCTAAACTTTGATCAGAGCAAACTTGATAATGACGACTGTTCCTCTGTGAACACAGCTATCACTGACACAACAACTGGTGATGAGGCTAATGCAGATAATGACAGTGCTGATGCCAAGCACAGCCAGAGTAGTAGTGATTACCTGTCTAAGTCTGGGGGCACAGTTCCTCTCCTTGAAAATGATGATCACATGTCCTCTGGGTTGGTTAGTCCTGCAAGCTATTATGCTAAAGACTATGAGAATGAAAACATGATTGACCACAGTGAGACATCCAGTCTGGCTGATCCCTGCTCCCCCAGCCCTGGAGCCTCTGGCAGCAGAAGCCTAGACGGTTCTGACCGTCCGGGCCAAAAGCGCTTCCGAACCCAAATGACAAACCTCCAGCTTAAAGTGTTGAAGTCTTGCTTTAATGACTATAGGACGCCTACTATGCTGGAGTGTGAGGTGCTTGGCAATGACATTGGACTTCCAAAGAGAGTGGTTCAGGTGTGGTTTCAAAATGCTCGTGCCAAGGAGAAAAAAGCAAAACTCAACATGGCAAAGCATTTTGGGATAAATCAAACGTCTTATGAGGGCCCCAAGACAGAGTGCACCTTGTGCGGTGTCAAGTACAGTGCTCGCCTCTCTGTTCGTGACCACATCTTTTCCCAGCAACATATTGCTAAAGTCAAAGACACTATCGGCAGTCAGATCGACAAAGAAAAGGAATATTTTGACCCAGCTACTGTCCGCCAACTTATGGCCCAACAAGAGATGGACCGTATTAAAAAAGCCAATGAAGTTTTAGGACTGGCTCAGCAGCAGGCCATGCAGCAGCAGGGGATGTTTGATAATCCTGCTATGCAAGCGCTGAATCTCCAGTCTGCTTATCCAAATCTACAAGGCATTCCACCTGTCCTGTTGCCTGGGGTTGGAAGCCCCTCTCTTTCCAGCTTTAATTCATCTAATTCAGGTATATTTTCAGTTCAGGTATATTTTCAGTTCAGTTCTTATTTTACATGAATACAAATATGTAATAAATTAATTCGTTAAAATAAAAATGCTAAAATATTTGCACTAGTGTTATTTGATAAGACCTATTGGATAAGAATCAGACATCTTAAATTCAACACCAAGTCCAAACTTGTAGGCTCATAATCAAACTGATACATACATGTTTTATTATTATTATTATTTTTATTTTCTAATGTTACTCATATCCATTACTAACTGTTGTCTGTTTGTGTTTTTACATGTGTTTCAGCTTTAACTCCTCCTAAACCTTCGAACCTTCTGAATATGCCTGGTGCCAGTGTTCCCTCGCCAAGTCTCCCAACGTCTGGATTGCCTAACAAGCTCCCCTCGTCTACGTCCTTGACCTCGTCCAGCCCCGCCCAGACCAGCACATCAGTGTCTCACTCCAGCTCTACTACCACCTCTTCTTCCTCTTCCACTCAGTCCATGTCCCGGGCCGACCATCCCAAAGAGCGTGATGCTGAGAGGCAAAGAGAAAAGGAGAAGCCCAAGGAGAAACCCGAAAAGCCGCAGACTCCTTCATCCACTGGAAGTACCCCCGCCCCTTCCACCTCCGCAGCCAGCGCCAAAAAGGACAAACCGGACACTGCTGTTCCTGCCACCTCTATGCCCACCCCTGGTATGGAGTATGTGGTAGACCCCGCACAGCTTCAGGCCCTTCAGGCTGCCCTTGCCACTGACCCCACAGCTCTTCTCACTAACCAGTTCCTGCCCTACTTCATGCCTGGTTTTTCCCCTTACTACACACCACAGATCCCCTGGAGCCCTCCAAGGGGGCTACCTACAACCAATGTATGGTATGGAGAGCTTGTTCCCCTATAACCCATCACTGTCCCAAGCCCTGATGGGCCTGTCCCCAGGGTCCCTGCTGCAGCACTACCAGCAATATCAGCAGAGCCTGCAGGAAGCACTCCAGCAGCAGCAGCGGCAGCTTCAGCAGATCCAGCAACCCAAGACAAGCCAAATCCCAAACAATTCTCAGATCGTGGGCAAAGATTCAACTAAAGAGCCAGTGAAAAGTGAAGAGCAAAAGAGTGGTGAGCCCCAAAACACTTCCTCGTCTGCTTCTCATAACAAAGCCCCTTCTGAGCAGAATGAGGTGGATGGCAAAGCCGTGGAACCCCATCTAGATCAATTCATTGTCCCTAAAGCCCAGTATAAACTTGCGTGCCGAAAATGTCAAGCAGTGTTCAGTAAAGAAGAAGCTGCTGTTGCCCACATAAAGTCAAACTGTTTTTTTGGTCAAGCTGTTTCAAACCTGCAGGAGATGTTGCTGCGTGTCCCTGGTGGCACAGGCTCAGGGGTTGGAAGTCTCTACGACTGCCTGGCTTGTGAAACTACATTGGACGGGGAGAAAGCTCTCAGTCAACACCTGGAATCGGCATTGCACAAACACAGAACAATCAAGCGATCGGTCAGAAATGCCAAAGAGCACGTTACTAGTTTATTACCTCACTCTTCAGCCTGCTTCCCCAGTCCTAACACCGCATCTACCTCGCAGTCTGCCACTCACCCAATCAGCAGCCCCCCTCCCACCACATCGGCCGCCATGTCCACCTCTCCTGTGTCCTCTTCGCTGTGCTCTTCTTCCTCATCTACCAGCCCAGTCAACACCACAGCCACTGGAAAAGCCTGGCCCCAGGCCCCTTTCAACAGAGCTTTAGCTGGAAAGCCCAACGCCAGTCCCTCCTCTTCATCATTCCCCCCAGTGTCCTCACCTTCAACGGTTACCTCAAGTTCATTGAGCACCTCAGGAGTTCAGACCTCGATACCAACAGACGTCTTTAGTGACGAGTCGGACTCTGACAGCAGTCAGAAGTCACTGGACAGGCTGGGTCGGCCGGCAGAGGAGCCGCAGCAGCCCACCTTTGTCAAAGACAGTAATAGTTGTAGTAGTACTCTCACTAGTGTAGGAACAGACTCCATCAGATTGTAAAAGAGCTTTCAGTGATGGACAATATTTAAAGAAAAATTAAAAAGACAAAAAAAATCTCAAATGGGAAAAACATAAAAAGCAGCAATGTTAAAATACATTTAAGTATACAAACAACAAACAATTTCAGAAAAAGATGTGTAAAGACTAACTGCAATTCCAAAGCTTGTAACCAAAAATGTAAATGTTAGTGGATTGTTTTCCCATATCAACATGCTGGTTTTCATTTTTGTTCTTTTAATTGTTTTGTTAAAACCAACTATACATGCATCCTAATACATGAGAATAGAAAAGATTGCTGCAGTTATGTTTTGGGTGTTGGTTAAAAGGTGTACATTATGTAGTGGACTGCCTCAAAGTCAACAAATTGCCCAAGAACCCCTTTGGAAGAATCTGAGTGCCGTTGTCCCTTTGTTTTGTTCTAAGTTCTCTGTAATAGCACAGTCACCAAAAGCCAGTATGTACTGTATGGGAGAATAGTCTATCAGTTATCTTGCTATTTAAGCATTCAGATACCAATGGCTTGCAAAGTGAATAATGTAATGTCTATTTTATTCTCAGGTCAAGAGCTCACAGCTGTTTTTTCAGTTACAGTAATTCATGTTTTACATGTTTTGTTTTGAACCGCCATTAAGCATAAGTTTTATTTCAAAATATTTTACAAGAAGGCATTGTTTTACGGGCATTCAAATTGGGTAAATAATGTGCTGTTTTCCACAATAAGAATCTTTTTAATGGGTGAAATTGCAATTGTACCCAAGGACACCAGTGCTGACATGACAGATAGGAAGAATGAAACCTCCTTCTGTATTTATGGTAGACTATGGTGTTACGCAGTGTTGCATTGGGAATGAATTTTAAAATAATGCTAGGATGAAAAAAAAAATTGTACATTTAGCTTTTGTATTGTCCGAATTAAGGACATTTGATTTGATGTTGTCTTGGTCATTCCAATAGACTAGATTATCAACAATTAATTTATATGTGTTATTTTCTTGGGAAAGTGTCACCCAATGCCCCTCCTGACAAGACAGGACATTCTTCTATTATTTAAATTCTTTAGTTGGTTGGGACTGGTCCAGCCTAAAGATCCTGGGTGAAATCTAATATATTATTTAATTTAATGTGTTACCTTTGTGCACTTATCACTATTTGACTCTCACTTGCTCCTCTCTGGCACTTAGTTCTTCATCTGCGTTTGTGGAGTACACTACAAAGCAGCTTTTCTTCTTAATGTAGTGTGGCTACAGTATTTGTTTTCATTTGGACATTTTTGTTGTCATAAATGAAAATGAAAAGAATACTAATAATAATTCTCACGCTTTAAGACAAAAGAGAATCCAAAGACTAAACACTTTCACCATTGGTGCATAAAGATAAGAGGCTCCTTTATACTTGAGGATTTGTTGCTGTTTTAGAGGAGAGAAAATAACGTTTAAAGATAAAGAAGTACGCATTAGAGTTGCCGTTCGGTGGCTTTTTTACGTAAATACCAAAAACCAAAAAGGGCCCATGTCCTTGCATTGTGGAGTAGCACCGTTACAGAGCCATTGCAGTTTGTAAGATAGAGGTTATTAATCTTTCTTTGACTTTTTGTCACATTCAAATGTCCATTTTTTTAAAGAAAATGTATAAGGTCTGGTCTTCAAGGACAAACATTTGCTGCTAATGTAGAATTTTGAAAGAAAAAAAGAATACCTAGATGCATGCTCATTTTGCTTTTGGCTAAGCTTTAACTAAAACAATAAACCAATTTCTTGCCTCTGCAACACCTTTTTTTCTTGTTGCAAAAACGGAACTTTGAAGACTGTGAATATATGTTCCAAAGGACATTTTGACTTTTTTTTAACCGACCAATGTTTAAAGCCAATGATCTATACAGTTTGTAAAGAACAGTGCATTCCAAATATCACTATGGATTTTTTTTCTTAAGCAAGGACTGAACCTGTTTCATTGCTTTTAACTGTCACACTCTTTTACTTTTCTCATGTTTAAAGTGACTGTAAACTGTTGTGTAAATTCTTTGCATCACCTCCATTTGTCATTGTGCTGGCATGGAAACATGGCTGATCCCCCTCCATCCAGTTGAGGTTGTCACTCACTTGAACAGCAAGTAAATAGTGGTTACCAAAAATGTATATAATACATCTGGTACTGAGGCATCTCTAGGTTTAGTCTCATTCTGTTACTCTCCATGTTACTGATCTCAGAAGGAAAGGCTGCTGTGTGCTTGTCCACTTCCCTCTCTCACCTCCGTATCACACAGGCCACTGGTTCTTAAAGGGACGTCTTCATTCCAAAGCATTATTTCTGGAAAAGGTTCTTTGAAGATGTCCCTGGGAACATTTAAGGCTACTTTTCATGTCCAAAGAAGTCACAAACTCCATCTTACTGCAATGGAAATATAGTAGTGGTGTACCTATTTTTTTCCTCTTCCAGAGCCCTTAACCCCCCTTAACCTATTATTGATAAATCTATGAATAAAAAAAGTTTTTATTTTTAAAACCGAGACATATTTAAAAATGTGAAGAACTACTTTTTTGGCCATTCTTGTATAGCTGATATGATTCTCCTGACGGCACAATCTCCAAAGTCTTTATGTAACAAGCAATGTGATTGGGTGTTCCAGCATGCTGTGAAAGTCACTATAGATTAGGTCTACAAGCTTTCTTGAATTTCCAGTCCAATAATATATTATTACTGTAATTAAATCCCTTGTGTGTGTGGATTTCCTTTGTTTTATGTTATTTTATATGAATTATTTTATTTCTGTATGTTACTTTTATATTATAAATTAACACTAGCTTTAATTTGAATTGCTTTAAACTAAATCAGACCTGGCCACTTTATGGTGTGATTAGTTCTTCATAGTGATTGTCAATAGTTTCCAATGTGTAATCTTTTGGGCTCTTATGTGGCAGTGTCCACTTGACATGAACTATGTGTGAGGTTGTATGCTACCGTGCATGTTTTTTTATTTCTTTATTTTAGTGTATGTTACACACCAAAACAAGATGAACCACAAAGTTAATATTCCAAAACTCATTTGTAACCGTAGGAGAATGAGGAGACTGAAGCACTGAGCATTTTGATTTGAAAATATGAATGTGGCCAAAGCTTTATGCAGTTTGAAACAAAACTTACAATTCATTTAAAACCTGTGCCCTATTTGACATGCATAAATGTATATTGAAACATGGCACAAACGTACATTGGGATACTTGATGTTAGTGAATATTGGGAGGATAAGGCAAGCTATTTGCTGTAGATGCCATCATTTTGCCCACTGTGAAAATGTATACAGATATAAATATATTTAAAACAAGACAACAACGTTTTTGAGATTAAAAAGTGAATGAAAAGTGACTAAAAGGAAGAAGTGCAAAGGACCCTGGGAAGTTTTTGGGAGATACAGGAGGACACTCTGAGCTGATAAAACAGCTCGCCTACAGCTTTAAAAACCACCTTCTTGTTTCGGGAATGGACTCTTTAACCAATGGCAGAGATGAACTGTATGCCTGGCTGCCTCTTCCCTCTTTCTGCTTGTGCTCTTTTGACGTTGGACACGCTCCAGATGTTACCGAACATGGGGCGTATCTTTTTTCATTCACGTTTACCTGTTTGCTCAGTCCTACCGGCAGCTCGTCCTCACTCCGTTCATTGCTTCACCCACACAAAGAGTATTAGGCCCAGTGAGGGAGTGAGGGCCGGCATCTCCAAGCTGTCACACTTTTAAAGGGGGGCAGTTACACTTAAAAAGCGTATTAACCAAAATGTAACAACAACCAAACTAACAACCAAACAACCATTTTTAGCTCCAAAACTTCAAAGACAAACTGTTACATGGAGCTGTCTGTTCCTTTTGTGACTTCTGGTGCCACAATGTTTTTTATGCTTTGTTGATTTGTTTTGTTTATTTTATTTTTCTTGAATTTCTCCTCCTCCTTCGAGCCTCATAAGCATGGCTCTGTGGCTCCAGGCAGCCCACCCGAGGGTAGAAAAAAAACAGCCTTGCAATGTACAAAAAAGAGCAAGTTAAACCAAAAATGTTCTTGATGTCTTTTCTATACTGTAGTCTTGTTAGCTTTTTTGTTACTGTATATGATGAAGATTTCCAAACTGTACCAAATGACATGGAAACTAACATTACAGACCACATGGAACTTCAGACTTTTAAAGAAACTTTTGTCACAGAACCTTGTTGTCCTAGTTAAGTTGATTGTAGATGGTAATTGAATATACTCCTTTGAAAATATTTCATCAAGTATGTTTCTTGCTCATTGTGATACATTAAAAAATATGAGCATAATCTATGGTGGCCCATGACTGTTCATTTTACATCTGTAACACTACATCTCTATATATGTGTTATTATCATTTTATTTATCTGTTAGCATGGAACAATGTTATTATGCTAGTGATAAACTATATGTAAGTATTAGGACTTTCCAATTTTCCAACAATATAGTAATTAAGTAGGTAAAGTCATTCCCCTAATATACTTATACTTATTTTCTTCAATTCATAATTGGCACTATTCAGAATAATATTTATTTTTGGCCTGTGATATGATTGTATTTGAACTTTTAGTTTTTCACACATGTATGCTAATATTACCATGTAATTGTGGTGCATATAAAATACATTTGTATATTTGGTTGATATTAATCATAACCCTTCTCAGTTATCTGTGACACCACTGCACAGAGTACAGGGTCCCAAAATACTGTAAAACTCAAAGCAGATAAAAAACAAAACAAAAAAAACAATGAGAGTCATTGTCCATGTTGAGCCAATTAGTGCACAGGGGCACATTCAGGATGAATTAAAATAGGCCTAATTCAATATTAAAAGGCCAGGGCTGTTTCCTCCACAGGTCTGCTCCAGATGGCACACACAGAGACAGGCGAGCCCAAAGTGCACACTGTGAAATCAGTTTAGCTCACAAGTCAAACACAGCAACCAAAAGCCACTATGTTAGCCTCTAGGTGCTATCCACACCTTACTAACCTGAACTGGCTTTGTTCTATAACAGCATATATATGTATGTATGTGTGTGTGTATATATGTATATGTATATATATATATGTGTGTGTGTGTGTGTGTGTAATATATATATATTACATACATATATATATATATATAGAGAGAGAGAGAGAGAGAGAGAGAGAGAGAGACAGACAGACAGACAGACAGAGAGAGATCTTCAAAATCAATACCCTAATAATAGTATAGTAATAATACTGGAATAAACTAGAACAGGGTAATGTCCCACGCCCACACCTGCACATCTTTGTCCTCATATCTTGTCTCAGTATGAATGTCAAAGGCAAATTACAGCACTGCCTTCAGAAGGGGTCAAACTAATTCAATCTAATCCGTCAGTTAAAGTGATGGTCGTGCCAGAATAAAAAAAGAAAAAAAAAGAAATAGAGAGCGATGTGGGAGGAATTCTTATGGAAGTAACACTTGCATTTGAATTAAGGCCTAATGTTAAAAGATTTGAAGTCACCAATGAATCTGGACAGCTTGTTTCAAACCACAAAGGATCCTGTCTTCTTTTTTCTAAGTGTTGTATGACAAGAATGCAACCCACTTTATTAATGGCAGAACTGTATGTAAGATTTCAGTTAAATCTTTTGGCCACTGCAAGATTTAATAGCGAGAAAATGACAAGGCTATAGAAAATGGACAGAGACATGTTGCCATATTCAACATGAATACATCTACTACTACTACTACTCTTTTACTACTTCTAGTACATCATTAATCATGCACTAGTTTCAGTAATACAACAAACGTGACCTTATAAGTACATATTTGCAATACTTCCCACCTCTGGGCATAGCAGGATCTGGGTTGTACACAGGGCTTCTCTTGACAGTGGGATCAGGTGTCTGCTTCCTCACATCTCCTTCTGGTTCTGTTTAAGGAAATGAAGTCCATGAGTGGAGCTGTGCAAGACTGGCTCTGCAGGGCCCTGTCGGCGGCAGCATTAGGCCGCTCCTCAGCACCAGTAATTGAATAATAACAGGCCTCCCTCCCACACGTTCTTAATGAAGAGAGTCTGTGTGGGGAATGTATTTGTCCCTGTCTATCCCCCACTTGCCCTCCTCTCTGCTCCTCTTCCCTCCTAATAAATCATTTGTGCAGGCCGAAATACAGGATCATTTGACTTTACATCAAAGTGCTTCTTCCTCTGGTGTCATTCCTGTAACCTCAATGTGCTGATGTATTAAGAAGGCTGGGGCTGGAGTGTTTTTGCCAAAGTGCTGTTGATAGTGCCGTGAGAGAGCGAGGTGCACTACATGAGAGATCAATTATCACACCTCATTTTGTTCTCATATGCAAAATCATAATGGTCAGAGCATGTCAGGCTGGAACCATCGCCTTGTCTATCCTCTCTGCACTAAATGTGTTTCACAGACCGGTCGCTCACTGCTAAATGCCTTGAACAGTTGGGAGAGGCCGGTGGGAAAGGGCCAGAGTTTGCCTTGATCTGTCTGCAAATGTCCCTCTGTGGAGTAGCTCACGAGTGATATAACAACAGCATAAAGCTAGCACTCAGCATGATGTCTAACAGCACCTGTAAACGCATTCACATTGTAGAGTTTGGACAATGGAAGATAACTATATATATGATTTTGTGTTTGTGTGAAGAAAAGTAAACATTGCAAAAAAGAAGGTCTCAGACAGAATTGTGTAAGAGTGATTCATAAATTGTGGTACAGTTTTCAGTGCCAGTATATTTTTCTTCTTATGAAGAAAAATTACGTTATGTTCATTTTACTATAGCACACTTGAATTCCCCTTTTCATGGCTGGGATGACATGGACCTGGTTTGGTCCATCTTTGACATTTTTTGACATTTTTTGCATTAAAACAGGATGGTTCAGTGCTAGATTCCTGATTTTGACTATTAGTTAGCATTAACCAAAACAGAGGTTGATATTAAGTTTTCCAGGATCAAATAGTCTAAACTCCAGGTCTGGAAGCATTGCTTTGAGGGACCACATTTCCCGTATCCAAACTTAATACAATAATTGCTTTGAGACTTGTTCATATTAATATTTCTGTGACTGTTGCATGTCTTTGAGGCCTAACTAGAATCAGTTGGCATGTATTGCTGGAGGAGTGCCTGTCAGCCCGGGCCCTGACCCTGACTGGCTGCTATAATGATGGGAAGATGAAAGCAGCAGCAGCAGCAGTCCCATTCCCAGAGCAGTCGGCTGAGGAGGGGCGCTGAATCGGACACATAATGGAGAACAGGTGTGTGTAGAGCAGGGGCGAGACAGTGTTTGGTCAGACAGAGAGCCCCACTCATGTGGAGGAGGGTACACTACTGGCATTCACTACAGCTACTATGCTCACAACTTCCATAAAGAGGTTTACTTCAAAGTTTTTATTTTCCTTAGACTGAGAAAATGGTCTGCCTTAGTCTGTTATATTAATGTGACATCAGATCACCCCTCTTTATTTTTTCTTTACTTAATTGATGCTTGGTTGGGTTGTCATGCTCTAGTTTGTGGTCCCTTGTTTGTTGTGATTATATTAAACGGTAGTCCTGTGACAATGTTGATTTTGGTCATAGTGCATTTATAGAGAAACACTCCATCAACAAAAATCTAAATGACTGGATTTGGAATAATATTTGCACCCCAAACAATTCCTCTTTACTTTGACTATAGGCATGAGTTAGTAACTATAAATGTAACTGTTCTGTGAATTAATTAAATTATTAATTATAAGACGGGTTAGTTTTGGCTTTTATTGAAATCTATAAAAATCTGTAAAGCAGTAAATCTGTCATAAATATAAAACAAACAACAAAAATCTACAAAAATCAATATTTAATTTCTAGTCTTCTCCCATTTGGTACTACAGTGTTTTAATTGGAAATAATACACAAGCAAATCCTGCATGGTTAATTACCCAGCAGGCTGTACAAACCAGATCAAATGTAAAGAGAATGTGATATTTTTCCTTACCAGCATTGCTGTATACACAGGGTTT